CCCCAAAACCCCAAAACCCCAAAACCCCAAAACCCCAAAACCCCAGAGAATTTGAACAGATTGAACCAGATTTTGACAAAATTTATGCATCGTTACCAGCGAACGTCCTCTTCAATTTAAGCCGCTCCTTTTCTGAGAGTAGGTCTTGGTACTTGGTGAACTGAGTCTGGAGTGAAGGAAGCTCATCTAGCTTTATACCATATATATTTGCTTTTCTATATAAGTTAGATAATTTCTAATGAGCATTAAACTAGCTATGAAATATTAATAGAGATCTTCTAAAATTTTGAATGTTCTTAATCTATTAAAACTTATAATTTTTAATACACATATGAGGGCTTTTAACAACTCTAAAAATAATACTTACCCAATATTCGCCAGAGTTTCACAATATTTGAGATTTGCCAACTTCGAAAACTTATTAGGGAGCTTAAAACTTCATCGTAAATTCTTAAGATAGTTTGGCGTCATTGCTAAGCTAAATTTAGGAGAAGTATTTGATGACTTCCTGGATCTTGTAAACATTCTTTTGGGCTGGCTTAACAAAGCCAGCCTTTTCTTATCAAAAGAGAGATTATTTCCGTCTATTTATGCTTGGTACTTTCCTCAATTCCCTCTTTTCTGAAAACAGTTTCTGAATTATTTAGCTTTTGCTTCATTTTATAACGAGCAGCAGGTTTTCCGAGAACTAGAAAATAATTGATCAAAGAATTGAAGAATGAGATACCTCTTTCATTGTACCGGAGTGACTGATTCGGGGTAATAACAATCTTCTTACGTCCTAAAGTAATAAATAGAGATAATTACTGCCCATCATAACTCTCATTGTTTTCTTAATAGCTGTGTTAATTCTCTTTTTCATCTCCTTTCTTTGTGTTACTGAGGGATCAATTTCATTTGACAATTGAGCTATACTCTTTCTGTCCTGCCTTTTAATTGAGTTTGCTAAAGATCCTTTCCTTTTTATCGAAAGTCTGACTGCAGGGCTGAAGGGTGGCTGGATCCTTGAACCAGGTGTTTGCATTTTATTTTGAACTTATCATTATATTATGGATAGAATTCGTTCTCATTCTAAAATTATCAACCTACCAAAACCTACTTCGTCTTCACAATCTTAACTCTAGAAGGTCGATTACGGACAACACTCAGCTTCTTACTAGTCTTACTCTTCTTCTCTTCAGATGAACAGTGGCTTCAATCCTTCTTTTGTTCCTCAATATTCATTCTCTCTTTGAAAACATTTATATCTTATCCACCAAATCATTCAGAACATGATAAAACACAGACCTTGTACCTACAGTATAATCTCCTTTCTGCCTTACCTCTTTGTGTCCTGAGCTCAATTGCTTTGTCTATCATTTTATTATATGAGAAAAATTATTATGAATTAAATTAGTTAGGAAATATAAGGGGTTTTGGGGTTTTGGGGTTTTGGGGTTTTGGGG